TATTTGAGAGTGCCAAGATCTTTAATCTTGAATTGAGAAGCCAGAAATTTCTTAAGATTAGAAATACCATGAGAGTCATTTGAGGCCACAATAATATCGTCGACATAAACGAGCAAAGCTATAAAAGATTTATCAGATTGCTTTGTAAAAAGGCTGTAGTCAGTCCGGGACTGTGTAAATCCAAATTGGAGTAAGGAGGTGGAGAATTTTGCATACCATTGGCGAGAAGCCTGTTTAAGGCCGTATAGACTCTTTCGTAACTTGCAAACTTTATTCTGTCCTTGAACGATATATCCAGGAAGTAATTTCATAAACACCTCCTCATCCAAGTCACCATGGAGAAAGGCGTTGTTAACGTCAAATTGTTGTAAAAACCAGCCTTTCCATGGATCTATATTCGGCTTCAGTAGAGCTTCGAGAGACTGTATTTTGCTTCTTACACTTCCAAGAGATAAGTGACTTTCCAAGGAAGATGCAAAAACCGGTAGTTGATCGTCGTGTGTCAGGGCAGGAGGCCCAATCAGAGTCACAGTATGATGTAAGCTGGGACGTAGAGGAAGAGGGGAAAAATAATCCTTGACCAGGGGACCGTTTGACATAATGCAGGACTTTGTAAGCTGCTTAAAGATGAGGAACACGAGGCTGACTCATGTATTGGCTGAGCAGATTAACGGAGAAAGATAAATCAGGGCGTGTGATGGTCAAGTAGAGAAGTCTGCCAATGAGTCTTCTGAATTCAGATGGATCAGGTAGCAAGTTGCCTTCATCCTTACTAAGCTTGAGATTTGGATCCATAGAAAGTAAACTAGGCTTGCAGCCAAGTAAACCGGTATCATGTAAAATGTCGAGGGCATATTTACGCTGGCAAAGTTGAATTCCACTGGAGTTTCTAGCTATTTCCAAACCAAGGAAATATTTGAGAGTGCCAAGATCTTTAATCTTGAATTGAGAAGCCAGAAATTTCTTAAGATTAGAAATACCATGAGAGTCATTTGAGGCCACAATAATATCATCGACATAAACGAGCAAAGCTATAAAAGATTTATCAGATTGCTTTGTAAAAAGGCTGTAGTCAGCCCGGGACTGTGTAAATCCAAATTGGAGTAAGGAAGTGGAGAATTTTGCATACCATTGGCGAGAAGCCTGTTTAAGGCCGTATAGACTCTTTCGTAACTTGCAAACTTTATTCTGTCCTTGAACGATATATCCAGGAGGTAATTTCATAACCACCTCCTCATCCAAGTCGCCATGGAGAAAGGCGTTGTTAACGCCAAATTGTTGTAAAAACCAGCCTTTTATGGATGAAACGGCCAGTAACGTTTTTACAGTCACAAGTTTGGCAACGGGAGAAAATGTTTCGTGGTAATCAAGCCCCTCCTCTTGGGTGTAACCTTTGGCGACTAAACGAGCCTTGTGTCTTTCAACAGTACCATCTGAGTTGTACTTGATCTTGTAAACCCATTTGGAGCCAATGGCTTTCTTACCAAGTGGCAGATCAATGATATCCCAGGTGTTATTGAGTTCTAAAGCAGCAATTTCACTATCCATGGCTGTGCGCCAGTCTGTGCTTTTAACAGCTTGAGCATAGGAATTTGGCTCAGTATGATCAAGGATAGAAGTGGTAAAAGCAGCATGTATAGGTGATAATTTAGTAAGAGATAAAACAGAGGATAATGGATAGAGAGAAGTAGGAAGGGCAGTACCTATTACCTTAGAGCTTGATGGAGAAGCAGTAGGCACAATGACCTGTTGACAGTAGAAATCCTGAAGATATGACTGAGTTTTTCTTGATCTTTGTGGTCTGCGAGGAAGGAGCTGAGGCTGGGGAGTGAGCTGTTCAGGAGAATGGTAATTTATAGGAGAAAGGGTAGTGGCAGGAGTAGTAGGTGGAGAGGCTGGAGTGGGAGAAGAAGGGGGAGCGGATGTGTTTTCCGAGAAGAAGTCAGTGTAAGGTGGAACGGTAGCAGGTACTGGGATAGGAGGTGGAAATGAAGTATGTGAAGGTGGCTGCGAAGTAGAGGTAATAGGAGTACTGCTATAGGGGAAAATGTCTTCATAGAAGGTGACATCACGAGACTGGAAAATGGAATTAGTGTCTAAGTCAAGAAGTTTGTAGCCCTTAATGCCAAAAGGGTAGCCAAGAAAAATGCATCTCCTTGCACGAGAGTCAAATTTTTGCCTATTTTGTTTTAACGTGGAGGCATAGCATAGGCAGCCGAAAGTTCTTAAATGAGTGTAGGATGGTTTTGTTTGAAAAAGGAGCTCGTAAGGGGATTGATTTTGTAAATTGGGAGATGGCGTTCTGTTGATAAGATAAGTAGCGGTCAAAACACAATCGCCCCAAAGGGAGAGGGGAACATGAGACTGAAATCTTAAGGCACGAGCGACATTTAAAATGTGTTGGTGTTTCCGTTCGACGACGCCATTTTGTTGGGGGGTTTCAACACAGGTTTTATGATGAATGATACCCTTTTGTAAATAGAAATTAATCATTGCAAATTCATTACCGTTGTCAGATCGAATGACCTTAATATTCTTGTGAAATTGTGCCTCAACCAGAGAACAAAATGACTGGAGGATTGCTCTGGTCTGGGATTTGTTGTTCATTAGGTAGACCCACGTGGATCTTGAGAAGTCGTCAACAATGGTTAAAAAATATTTGAATCCATCGTGTTTCATTTGGGAGCAAGGCCCCCAAATGTCACAATGAATGAGATCAAAAGAAGCTAAAGCCCGACTGTTACTAGGTAAAAAAGGTGATCTGTGGTGCTTAGAAAAATGGCAAGTGGAACAAGGAATATGATGATTCATTAATTTCAAGTTAGGCAAATGTTCCTATAATAACAATAATCGTGAGTCAGACAAGTGACCCATTCTACAATGCCATAAGTGGTGATTATTTTCAGGAATAACTGAAGCAGAGAGAGGAGATTGGTGAAACAGCAACTGAGGCAAGATAGAGGAGAGAGCTGTAGGAGGAACTTCTGTCAACTGAAGCTGATAAAGGCCATTGTGAGCCTTACCCTTCCCAATCGTGCTCCAAGTGAAAAGGTCCTGCAAATAACAATCATTAGGAAGAAAAATGATGCGACAGTTGAGGTCTCTAGCTAATTTCTGGGCTGAAAGAAGATTAAAATTAAAGGATGGAATGCACAAGACATCAGTGAGTGTGAGATTCTTATTGACTTGGACAGTGCCTTTGTGAGTAACAGTGGCATGAGTATTATTTGGAAATTTAACCTGAAAATGTACTGTGCTAGGTAAAGAAGAATAAAATGATTTGCAGCAGATCATGTGATCTGTAGCACTCGTATCTATGATCCAAGCAATATTCTGTGAAGATGTGGTGTGAGAAGCTGAGAAACAAGATGATATACCAGACATAGTGGAAGCTGTGGGATGAGGAGAGCTGACATGAGGTGTAGCAGGAGACTGAATAAGATTGGCAGTAGACTGTGGAGCCTGAGACTGGAGCAATTGAAGGAGCTGATGATATTGCTGCTTTGTAAGGGTAACCTGGGATCCCTCAGTGATCTGATCATGGCTGGAGAGGCTGACTTGATTGGTTAGGGGCTCAGACCCTGTGCTTCGATTGGCAAGCTTATGGCCCGATGGATAGCCATGAAATTTGTAGCATTTGTCAATATGATGGCCTGGAAGATTGCAGTGAGTGCAAGTTGGCTTGTCAAGGTGAGGATTGGCCTTAAAACATTTATCCAAAGAATGGCCAGAAACCTTGCAGAAAGTGCAAAAAAGTCTCTCCCTCCTCTGATAACCAGAGTGTCTGGTGTTGGGAAAGTGAGTCTTGGCAGCTAGAGCAAGAGAGTCATGGAGGATGGCAATATGAGATATCTGTTTTCGTTTTTCTTCTTGTTGGACAAGTGCATAGACCTCACTTAAGGAAGGAGAGGGTTTGATGAGAATGATCTGAGCTTTGATGTTGGTAAAAGAGTCATTGAGTCCCATAAGAAATTTCATCATCCAGTCACCCTGCTGATGTTCAAGGACAGGCTTCATAGCACCACAAGTGCAAGATGGGATGAATTCAAAATTGAGAAGTTCATCAAAAAAACCTTTCAACTTGGAAAAATATAGGCTGACAGAATCTTCACCCTGTGCAAGGGAATGTATGGATTGTTTTAATTCAAAAATTCGTGGTCCATTATTTTGGGCAAAACGTTGCTCCAGTTCAAGCCATAAGACGTGTGTTGTTTCAACATATACCACATTGTTCTTAATTTCAAGAGACATAGCGTTTTGGAGCCAAGTCACAACCATGTCATTGCATTCAAGCCATGGTTCCAGCATAGCATCATTCGGGGCAGAAGGCTGACAAAGAATGCCATCAATGAAGCCAAGTTTCTTTTTGATTCGAAGAGAACGGCGTACTGTACGAGCCCAAGAGTGGTAGTTGTCAGCTGTGAGGAGATGATTAGTAAGAAGAGTTCCAGGACCATCATTTGAGTTAAGGAAATAAGGGCTGGAAGGATCTTTAGGATTGGTGTTGATGGGAGGATTGACAGAGGGATTGGGTTCAATGGAAGAATCAATATTTTCTTTAGCCATATCTATATCTCTGATACCATTTCAGATTTAATGAATTGAAGGAATTGACAAAATGAAGAAGGCTTCAGATGAAATTATCTGATGATGAATTAATTTTCCTTGATTTACAATGTATGGAGCTACATACTTATAGTATTTACACGTATAAAGGAAGGACAGATTCTACAACAAATTCAACAGAAATTCCTAACAGAATTCCAGCTCTTGCATTCTAGAATCATCTGTTATATTGCTGGATTTTGCTGAGCTGGTAAATGTAGTGGCTGAGGCAGTTGTGGTGGACATTCTAACACTTTGGTCCATATAATCTCACTATATCCAACGAGGCCCCCTGGATTCTCTCTGTTGGTGCTAGCACTATAGACCGAAAGATCAGGGCAACTGCAGTGCTCGGAAATAATGAATTACACGACGGAGAATCAGCTTTTCAGCCAATGAATTTTACATCAGCTTTCTTGCCTCTTGTTTATGCGGGGATGTTGAATTCTAGCGACGATCTTGCACCATACTGTATCCCAGAAATTTTGAACAAAACCGATGTCATCAGAGGGAAGATTGTGGTGTGTGAATTAGGCGAAATTACAGCAATTGAAAAAGGACAAGCGGTGAAGGATTCCGGTGGTGCTGCCATGATTCTCGTGAACTATGAGGAATATGGAAACACGACAATCGCCCGAGCTCATGTCCTTCCAGCGACACAAATCAGTTATGCCGATGGACTAAAAGTCAAAACTTACATAAACTCGACGTCAAATCCCGTAGCTAAGATTTTGTTCAAAGGAACCTTGATTGGTGATGATCGTGCCCCTGTGGTGGCTGGATTTTCTTCGAGGGGCCCAAATTATGCGAGCCCCGGAATTTTAAAGCCTGACATTTTAGGTCCAGGTGTAAACATCCTTGCAGCATGGCCCGTATCTGTGGAAAATATCACCAACACAAAATCTACATTTAACATGCTATCAGGTACCTCAATGGCTTGTCCTCATCTCAGCGGTGTTGCGGCTTTGCTAAAAAGCTCGCACCCTAATTGGTCTCCAGCTGCCATCAAGTCAGCAATCATGACTACTGCTGACGTTGTAAACCTAGCCAGGCAGCCAATTGAAGACGAAAAATTCCTTCCTGCCAACATTTTTGCCACTGGTTCTGGTCATGTCAACCCATCAAAGGCCAATGATCCGGGCCTTGTTTATGACATTCAACCCAAAGACTACATACCATATTTGTGTGGTTTGAACTACACAAACAGACAAGTTGGGACCTTTCTACAACGAAGGGTAAATTGCTCGATCGAATCAAGTATACCAGATGGGCAATTAAACTATCCAGCATTTGTTATTACTTTTACAGTTCTATCTAATTCTCAGACCTATACTAGGACAATAACAAATGTTGGTGAATCTAAATCCTCGTACACTGTCAAAATTTTCCGTCCACCTGGCGTTGATGTACGTGTTGAGCCCACGACACTGAATTTCTCGGAGCTCTACCAGAAGATGATATATCGAGTGACATTCAAAAGATTGGCTTCTTCTAGAAATAATACTGTTGTTCAAGGTTATCTGATATGGAATTCAGACAAGCATGCTGTGCGAAGTCCTATAGCAGTTATACTGTCCTAGATATGTCTCTAATTACAACACTCGATTTCAGTGTTGAGATTACAAATTTGGACATCTAAATAAGCACCCTGGAATGAGTAAATGTAGTTTCTTTCTCAATTTGAAGTGTAGGAGATATTACACAGATAATGTGCATATTATATTCATCAAGAGCATGCCGTTAATATGCGTGAAATCGAAACATCATTCGACTTACCGAAATCTGATTTGAGAAGATAAAATAGCCATTTACCGACTTCGAATATAATAAAATGAATTCTTCACTTCCCAATATGAGTGAACGCATGTTTTTCTTCAATTCAAACCCTTCAATAAAACACATAAATAAAGTAACCATATTTTGAAATCAAGCATAAATAAAATCAGAAATGAGAAAGATGAAATTCAAATGATGCGATCAGTCGAGGCAAGTGTTTGACACTTTTTCCTTAAGATGAATTTGCCCCGCATCGGTGCTAACGGTTTCTCGGCAATCATCTCCCAAGATACAACGACCACGTCAAGCCATAGGAGCACTCCAAATGACTTAGACCAACGAACTCAAACGGAGTTCCCTCTCTACCATAACCATGATTTTGATGCAAGAGAAAATCACTTCTATAAAGTGTTTTATGCAAAACTAAAGTAACCATGATATGAAACTATCAAATGAATTGTTTGTTGTGTAGTTAATCCAAACACATAGGGAATCCATATATATAGTAGTTGGAACATCCATACCAAGAGACACATCTCTTGAATAATCATAATTATTGGAAGTTACTCATACCAAAAGTCATGCTCTCCAAGAGTCATGATCCATATGAAAAGACACATCTTTTCATCTACATTCTCTAGAATATTCCACAATATTCTA